ATTATTGACAAATTAGCGAAATCTTTCTATGTTGACAACTGCGTAACGAGTGTCAGATCTCAATTGGAATTAAATTCTTTTATGAAACAAGCGAACGAAATAATGGCCAAAGGTAGTTTTGAACTAAGAGGGTAAGAGTTTAGTCATGATTCTTCAGGAAAAGAAACTACACTTGTGTTTGGGATTTTATACAATAAATTTCATCAATATCAAATTTTGATATCGATTAATGCTGCAATGATTAATAATTGCGTTAACAATATAACGAAATGCACAATTCCTTCAGTCGCGTATAAAATATTTGACCCAATCGGATTTACAGCACCGGTCACGATAATTCCAAGATTAATATTAGAAAAGCTTTGGAATGTAGGATCCGATTGGAATACAGTAGTGGGATACAGTTTAACTAGCATTGAAATACCAAGAAAATTTGGTTCGGGCATTTTCTCTTTGCACACATTTTGTGATGCAAGTGAAGTAGCATATGCATCGGTCACATTTTTACGCGTAGAAAACGAAAATCGAGTCGAATTGAATTTACTTGCCGCGAAAACACGAATCGCGCCAAGTAACGCGACCTTTCCACGTCTCGAACTTTTGGCCGCATGCATAGGTAGTCGTTAAACAGATGACATTTTACAAGCTCTTAACTATAAAGATATACCCGTTTTTTGTTGGTCCGATTCGACTATTACTTCAACCTGGATAAATCGCGATAGTCAGTGGGGTATATTTGTCTGGAATCGCGTACGTGAGATCCGACGCTTATCAAAGTCGTGGACATGGAAATTGTGAGGTTAGTTTTTACAATGGGTTGGTACGAGTGTTGCATGAATGAGGTTGGTAAGAGTGTAGAGTGAGTGAAATTGGTAAGACAGATATTTTTTTGGGTTGGCAAGAGTGTGAAAGATTTAAAAAGAACCGGTGTGTGTGTGAAAGATGTCCGCGGAGTATGCCATTTCTACGCATTAAACTTTAGAATTCAAACTATGTTTATTAAATATATATAAATATATAAATATGATATATAAAGTCATCAATAACATTATTCCCCCACAGAAATATGTACCAGGGCCACTGAATCCGGCCGATCTTCTCTCGCGCGGATGCCGAGCTAAGCAGCTGATTGACTCGCGCTGGTGGGAGGGGCCTGACTGGCTACGCGGGCGTCACCAGGACTGGTCGTGTTTGACAGGTGAAGTTAATGAAAACGAGGTAAATGGTGAGCTGAAAAAATCAGCTGAGATCTCAATGCTCTGGGTCAGGAACATAGATAAGGAACATAAATCTAGTAAATAAGTTTTGATCATATAACAAATTGATAAGATTTTTTTGTATCATGCTCAGATTTAAGAAATATTTGAAAAAGGAAAACATAAAGAGCAAATATTTTACATATAAAGAGATTCATGAAACAGAAGTAAAATTTTTATAATATTTACAGGAAGAAATGTTTTTACAAAAGAATGATCCAAAGTTGTCAGCGATTAAAGTTTTCAAACATATCGACGGTCTATTGAAATTGAAAACAAGAATAATATGAGGTAATGATAATTTCTCTTTTTTGTGTCCGATAATATTAGATAATAAACATGAAGTAGTAAAATTAATGATTCACGAGACGCATGAAGATATGTGCCATGCTGGAGTACAATCAGTCAAGTGTCAACTGAGAGAGAAATATTGGATACTACGTATGCCAAAAATCTGTCCGAGAAGTTATCCTAAAATGCGTTATTTGTAAAAAACAATGCGCTAAACCGATGAAAGTAGAACCAGCTCCTCTACTGTTCAATCGAATAACAGATGCTGCTGTATTTGAAGTTACTGGTGTACATTTTGCAGGGCCGTTATTTTTACGAGGACAGCAAAAAGCGTGGATATGTTTATTTACATGCGCCGTATATCGTGGTGTACATTTAGAACTTGTAACATCTATATCCACAGCAGCGTTTTTAGATGCATTGAATAATTTCACTGGTCATCGCAAACAACCTGCCGTCATTTATAGCGATAACAGAACAAATTTCGTAGGAGCGAATAGTGCTTTTGAAAAGCTTAATTGGGATGTAATCGGTAGGACTAACTTCACCAAACGAATACAATAGATCTTCAATCCACCTACAGCAGCATGGTGGGGAGGATGGTGGGGAGGTTGATAGGCATGGTCAAAATTATCTTACGTAAAGTCCTTAGAAAATCATGTCTAACGTACGAACAAATGTATACAGTTCTAGTTGACTGCGAGCGTACGATCAATTCATGTCCTCTAACGTATGTATCTGATTCGATATCGACATTCTCCAAAAAATTGATTTTAACAATGTTATCAAACGTAGACAGGAAGTAATGGAACATTTACGTGATCGTTTTCGTAGAGAGTATCTGAGTCAATTAGTTTTTAAAAATAACGCCAAAAAATCTCGTGCAATAAAAGTAGGAGATATTGTTATAGTAGGTGACGATACTCGAAAGCGCATCAAATGGCCGTTTGCTAAGATCGAGAAATTAATCGAAGGTCGTGACGGAATAGTTAGAGTTGCAGTTTTGAAAACTAAAGATGGTATATTAAAGAGACCGTTGCAACGGATTTACCCTCTCGAAATTTGCAACATCGATATAAACGGAAACAATATGCGGGAAAAAAGTAAGCGAGCAGTCTGTTTCTGATGATATTAACGAGAAAAATTGCGAACCTAAAATTGATTGTAATACGAAGGAGACCAAAAGAACACGTATTGTAAAGAAACCCGACTATTATAGATAAGTTAGATTTCATATACAGTGTTCATTCTATACATATACGCAAAAATGTTCTTTACGATATAAGCAAAAATTATCCCCACCACTGGGGGGAAGACCCCTCAAGACGCCCGAAGTTCGCTCGCCGGGAAAGGTGATCCGGGCCTTAGTATATCCGTGAGACAATACCAATGCAAATAAAAACCTTTTTATTTTTTATTTTCTCGTTATCAAACTGTTATGAATAGATTTTTTACATTTTTGTTAGAAATTTAGAGTTTACGTAGATGTATCGGACGAGAGTAAGCCATGTGCGCTTCGTCAGAGAGCTGTCCGGGGCGCAAGGGAAAGTTTATGAGTCTAGAATACAATGTATAGTTTTTAAGGGCCATGGTGACGTTGGTGTCCTCACGGCCAGGGTTTTGCCGAGGAGGCATTCTTGTGCAGTCTATGATCGTGGCAACACATCACAGAAATAAACGAGACATTCAATAGCTAAATTGCATCTAATTCGTTATTTCTGTCTATCTCGCTCGTTCTTTCCTGATTTTTCTTACAAATCAGAAGTGGGATAGATCTACGTGTCACACGTATTATTAGTGTGTGATAATAGACATTGTTGTATATTGTGCAAAGACTTTCTTCTTAAGCGTGTACAGTGTACGGACTATTAAGTGTATAGAACATTTAGTGTTGGACTTTTGTGTTTTTTGTTGTTGTTCTGTTCATTAAAGTATAATGGCGTCGTGTAGCCGTGAACGTGGTGAAACCAGTGGAAACACCACAGAATCGCGTCTGGAACGTTTAGAGAATATGATGGAGGAATTTCTAAGTCGTTCGCGTTCACGTGCACCGTCGCGGTGGCACGATGCACATTCGCGTTCACGTTCACGTTCGCGTTCGCGTTCGCATTCGCGTGCCGTAAGGCGTGCATCGCGTGAACGTTCGCGTGCGCAATCGCGCGATGTTGAACGTAAAGTGGTCGAGCGGTCGCGTTCACGTTCGCGGGTGAATTCGCGGGCTAGTGTCCGCGTTTCGAAAGAAAGATCACGATCGCGTTCGCGTTCTCATGGAAGAGTTCGTGTGTCGAAGAGCCGTCATGCGGCTGCAGGTTCGCGATCGCGTTCACGGTCGCGTGTTTCGAAGCGTGCGACGCGTGAACGTTCGGTGTCGCACACGCGGGTGGTGAGTCGCGGATTGAACAGTCGATCACGGAGCCCGCAAGATCGGGTAGAAGAAGTTTGTTCGGGACATTCCAGGCCGTCGGTATCGAGTACAAAGACGGTTGGTGTTATTCGCCCGGGGGACGAAATATTGACACCAATTTACGATCCGTCTAAGGAGGAAATTACAATTGAAAACTGGGTGAGAACCATGGATGGAATGGCGGCTCGGTTCGCATGGGACGATATATGCGTTATGCGCTTGATTACGTCGAGGTTACGGGGCCACGCTCGACAGTGGTACGACACGCGTGTCCAAGTAGCAACCACATGGGCGGAAACCAAAGTATTGCTGGTGGCGCAGTTCCGACGGACATTGATATGGTCATCTTTGGGGTGCCAGATGAAACGGTGGCCAGAACGCTGCGGTCGGCGAAGCTCGATAATCCAAATGATCTGTATGCGTGCATGTGCACGATGGGAAACATGCCGGGCTTAGAGGAAAAGAAGAGGAGTAATAGCATCGAGGGCGGTGGAGAAGGGTGTTCAAAAGGGCCCTAGGTGCTACAATTGCGGCAAGGCGGGACATTTGGCGCGGGAATGCAGAAGGCCGAAAATTGAGTGCGGTCTTTGCAAGAAGCAGGGGCATCGGCAGGAATTTTGCAATCAGAAAGAGGTAAACGTTGTTCAAATTCCTAAGAGGGTGTCTAACATCTTTCAAGTTAAAAGTCGAATAAATGGGCATAAAGTAGAGACGTTGATAGATACGGGGAATGCGTGTACTGTGATTCACGCTTCCGTGATTAAGAAATTTTTGATTAAAACGAAATTCGTGGAAGATACGGTTTTCAGAGGGTTTGCAGGTCGGCCGGTTGTAATAAATCAAATTGCACCGGTTACAATTAGGATACAGAGCGTCGCCGCGGATATAGGGATATAAATTCTTTTATTGTTCCGGACGAGTATATGCGACATGAGGCGATACTTGGAAGGGACTTTTTGCAGCAGGATCATGTATTGATGATGAAACGTGGGGATCGGCTCACGTTTAGCAATTTGAGAGATTATAGAGCGCCGTGAATAATTACTGCGATGGATATTCACGTAATCGAGAAAAATCCTAATTTGAGTTTCGGTAATATCGGGAAGATAAATCGACAGTTATGTATTGTATTATTGGAGGAATTTCAAGATTGCGTATCTTCGTCGATGAGGGATCTCGGGAGAACGAATACGGTATCGATGGAGATAAAGTGTCTCACCGACGAACCGGTTGCGTATCGTCCGTATCGTTTAGCAGAACCGCAGAAAGTAATTGTTCGTAGTATAATAGAAGATTTGCTAAATAATGGGATAATTAGGGAATCTGATTCGCCGTACGCGAGCCCGATTACGTTAGTGAAGAAAAAGACCGGAGATTTTAGGATGTGTGTAGATTATCGAAAATTGAATGCGATTACGATAAAAGATAAACATCCGTTGCCACTTATTGATGACCAGATCGATCAGCTTGGGGGAAATCGGTGGTTTGTAGGTCTAGATTTAGCATTGGGTTATTATCAGGTTCCGGTGGCAGAAAATTCTATAGCGAAAACGGCATTTATTACTCCGGAGGGGCATTATGAATTTTTGAGAATGCCGTTTGGTTTAACAAATGCGCCAGCTGTGTTTCAGCGCCTGATGCGAAAAGTTTTGGCACCGGTAAAAGGGACGATTCCTTGTATTGACGATATAATAATACCGTCGAAAACGGTTGAGGAATTATATAGACAATATAATAATACCGTCGAAAACAGTTGAAGAAGGGCTCAGTAAATTACGAGAAGTTTTAGAGGCCTTGCGGACACATGGTTTGACCCTTAGGTTGGAAAAATGTTCGTTTTTTAAAGAAACCATTGAATACCTAGGTCGAGAGGTTAGTGCGCAAGGAGTGAGGCCAGGACAACGGAAAATAGAAGCAGTAAAAGGAATGCCACAGCCGACGAATGTAAAGCAGGTACGCCAATTCCTAGGGGTGGCCAGTTATTTTCGGAAATTTATTAAGGATTTCGCTGCGATCGTCGAGCCTTTGACACGGTTGACACGGAAGAGTGTACCGTGGAAATGGGGAGGGGCTCAAGAACAGGCCTTTCGCCAGGTCAAAGAGAAGCTAGTAACACGACCGGTGTTGCGTATTTATGACCCAAAAATTACCTACCGAATTGCACACGGATGCGAGTTCATTGGGTGTTGGGACGATGTTGTTACAGTTGCAGGAAGATGGGAATTTGGCAGCAGTAGCTTATTTCAGCAAACAGACAACAGCGGATCAACGATGCTATCATTCGTATGATTACAAACAATGGCTGTGGTTTTTGCATTGAGACATTTTAGGATTGGAGTTTAAGGTAGTTACTGATTGCAATGCATTGAGGACCACGTTTTCGAAGAAGGATCTGTTGTCGCGCATAGAACGATAGTGGCTGGAAGACCAAGAGTTTACTTTTGAAATTGTGTATCGTCCAGAGTCCCGGATAGCGCATGTGGATGCGCTTAGTCAGAATCCTCAACCGGTTGTGCTTGAAGTCTTTCATATAGATATTACAGAGGCAGAATGGATTGTTGCAGCCCAGTTGCAGGATGAGCAGTTGTTGCGCATCAGGACTATATTGGAAAGGAAGGACAAGTCTGCCGAGACTAAGCACTATTTTAAAGAATATGTGCTAAAGGCAAATAAATTGTATCATCGATTGTCAGATGATAAAATGGTTTGGGTTGTGCCGAAGGCGGCGAGATTACAGATTTTCAGGTTGTGCCATGATGATGCAGGGCACTTGGGTACGGAAAAGACGTTGCAGAGAATCCAGCAAAATTATTGGTTTGCAGGTATGCGATGGTTCGTGGATAAGTATGTTAAAGCGTGCTTGAGTTGTGCATATTATAAACATACGGCAGGAAAGAAGCAGTGCAAGTTGAATTCGATAGAGAAGGTACCGGTTCCATTTCATACAGTACATATTGATCATGTGGGACCATTTGAAACGAGTCGTAGACGGAACAAATACTTGCTTATGTTGGTGGACGCGTTTACAAAATTCACGATTGTGGAGCCGGTGAAGAGTCAGAAAACGCGCCAAACCGAGAAAGTATTAATGAATTTTATGTATTTGTTTGGGGTGCCGACACGAATTATAAGTGATCGTGGAACAAGTTTCACGTCACGTAGATTTGGGTTGTTGTGTCAAACATACGGCATTAAGCATGTACTTAATGCGGTAGCTACCCCAAGAGCGAATGGTCAGTACGAGCGTTACAATAGGACCATTGTTAATGCGCTAGCGGCAAGTGCGGCAGGTCAAGACGCACGGGACTGGGATGTGCAGGTTAAGAAGGTGCAAAGCACAATAAACACCATGTACAACAAGAGTATAGGCACCACTCCAATTAAGGCATTAATTGGTTGTGATGTAAAGACAGTAGCTGAAGGTGTAATACTCAGTGCTGTCCGTGAAGAAATGGACTGGTTGGATTTGCATGCTTTGAAAGAAGAGATTAGTAAACATATTTCGGACGATCAAAAAGCACAGAAAGAACGTTATGATCGTATACGGAAAGAGGCTCGTAAGTATACGGTGGGTGAGTTGGTATTAGTTCAAATAACTAGTGAGCCTGCGACAGGAGGAAGTCGGAAATTGTTGCCGAAGTTTAAGGGACCGTTTCGGATTCGGGTAGTGTTGCTGAACGATCGGTATGATGTTGAAGATTTGAGAGAGGGGTCAAAGCGGTTGAGAACAATCGTCGCGGCCGATAAGATCAAACCCTGGATTGCGGTTCAAGGGGATGGGTGCGATGAGTGAAAATCGCTTAATGTTATTGTTTTAGCTCGTTTCAAGATTGTATTTGGGTGTTGAACACCGTAGAATTGTTGAAGAATAATGTAGTGGTATGGTATCTCACCTTTGGTTGATTTTGTTACAGTCGAGAAAGGAGAAACCGCCGAAAGCTTAGGGCTGAGGCGATGTGAGCATGGAAGAGGGTAGAGGTGCCAGAGGGGACGTTTGCCAGGTGACTCCATCGATGGGCAAACTCCATCGAGCAGCGGCAATGGGCTCTGCTGGGCGAGGATTGCGGAAGCGATCGGATTGTTTGGAATTGCGTTAGAGGCAGCGTAGAAGAATTGGGACTGTGGACGCTACGACACGAGGGGTGTCAAAGGGGCTGTGCATGAATACGAAAGTATCTTAAGCCATGAACAATGAACGGACAATATGATGTCTTAGTGTCGTCGGGACGTTAGGATAGACGATGAACGGACACGACGGTGGTTTAGTGCCGCCAGAAATGTTAAAAGTGGTTGGTGAACGGACACGACGCACAGTGGCGAAAAACAGCGAAAACGTGGACAAAACTAATATCTTCGATTCTGAGATAAATTATTCAAATGTTTTTAGATAAAATGATTATATTAGTGTTACAAATTAATTTTTTGTGTTAAAAATCGAATTTTGATTTGTTAGTTAACTAATACGGTTAGTTAACTAGTACGTATGAATTTTTATCTCGAAAACTATTTATCGAAATTAATTAAATCTTTTTGCATTTTAAACTTGAATGTTTGAACTATCATAATAATATTTTTTTCATTAGCAAATTCATTTTTTATTATAAAAAATTGCAAATAAATTTTTATTTTTTAAATTTTTTAACAATGTTTAAATATCTAATATGTAATATATATACATATTACATATTAGATATTTATATTATATGTGGGTGTGGATATTGAAATCTCACCTACAAAACAAGACGACATATTTGAAAAACGTCCGAAACTGCTGTTGTCACGTATGATAATAGGGCGCGCGCGTGAACATAAATGTGAATAACTCAGAAAACCGCAAATTACCGCAAGATATCCCGCAA